GTAGACACTAAGAATGGCTTTTGGCATGTCCAGTTGGACACTGAGAGTAGTTTCTTCACAACCATTGGCACCCCCGGGGCCGATATCGTTGGACCAGAATGCCATTCGGTATTTTACCTGCTCCAGAAGAGTTTCAACGACACCTCGACACAGCCTTGGGAGGACTTCAGGATATTGTGCCTATCTACGATGACATCTTGATCTTCGGAGCTGGAGAAAGCAAAGCAGAAGCCATCGAAAACTATGACCAGCGACTCCTAGCTCTGTTAGAACGATGCAGGAACAAAGGAATCAAGGTAAATAAAGAGAAATGCAAATTCCACCTGTCTAAAGTATCGTTTATAGGCCATGTCAGATCTGAAGACGGCTTAAAGCCTGATCCAGCTAAGATCCAAGGAGTTCAAGAGATGCCTACCCCACACAATAAGCAGGATGTGAAGAGACTCCTTGGTGTGTTAAATTATCTCCAAAAAGTTGCCCCAAATCTTTCTGAAGTCACCGCCCCGATGAGAGAGCTCCTCAAAGAAGAGAACCATTTCCTGTGGGATGAAAAAGTTCAAGGTCCAAGTTTTGAGAGGGTCAAACAACTCATCTCAGAATCTCCTATATTAAAGTACTTCGATCCCAAAGCAGCCATGGAACTCCGGTGTGATGCATCTGACATGAGTCTGGGTGCATGCCTCATGCAACATAGTCAACCAGTTGGATATGCATCAAGCGCCATGACCAAAACAGAAGTTAACTTGGCTCAAATTGAAAAAGAACTTCTCACAATTGTATTTGGACTTGAACGATTGGAAAATTATGTGCGAGGAAGACCAGTCAAGATCGAAACAGATCATAAACCATTGGGAAGCATCTTTAAGAAGAGGTTACTCGGTGCTACGAAACCTCTGAAACGTATAATGCTGCAACTCCAAAAGTATGATCTCAAAGTTACATATAAGAAGGAATCTGAGATGTATCTTGCAGATACGCTAAGCAGAGCATTCGTCCACTCGTTCAGCTCAGCAGATTCTAAAGGAGATGGAGAGAAGGATACGGAGAGTATCAACGTTGTCCAGTACCTTCCGGTGTCTGGGACAACACAGAATATTATTTGCACAGCCACAGAAGCAGACCCAGTCATAAAAGAATTGAAGAACACCATAAGAGAGGGTTAGGAAGAAGATAAAGAACGCCTTCCAGTAAAACTCAGGGAATACTTCCCCGTTTCGAGAAGAAATGACACTCTAGAATGGATTGGTTTTTAAAGGTGAACGGTTAGTTATACCTGAAAGTGCCAGAGAAGAGATGAATACTAAGATTCATGCTAGCCGTATAGGCATTCAGGACTGCCTACGCAGAGCCAGAGAAGTACTGTACTGGCCAGGAATGAACAAATACATCGAGACCTACATCGCCCAGTGTGTTGTCTGTAACAGCCAGCCAGTGGAACAAACCAAGAACCAATAATCTGTCAAGAGATACCAACCAGACCGTGTGAGAAGGTTGCAGTGGACCTGTTTGAGCTGAGTGGTGGAGACTACATGATCACTGTTGATTATTTCTCTAACTTCTCTGAAGTCGATAGTCTGACTACCAAGACAACTGATAAGTCATCAGGAAGCTCAAAGCTCATCTAGCCAGACATGGCATACCTGACCACCTTGTATCCGACAACGGACAGCCATTTGCGTCAGACAAGTTCAGTGAGTTTGCTAGCACTTACGGCTTTAAGCACGTGACAAGCTCCCCTACATATGCCCAGTCAAACAGGAAGGTAGAAAACGCCGTCAAGACTGCTAAGTCTCTCCTCGAGAAGGCCGCCAAGTCCAGACGGGACCCATATCTAGCCCTGCTAGATTGTAGAAACACCCCAACAGAAACCCTCGACTCTTCACACCCAGGAGACACAATCCACATCCAGCCGCAACGCTCTCAGCTAAGAAAGAAGAAGGAGTGGACTCCTGCGAAAGTTGAAGGAAAAGCTGACATCCGATCGTACCAGGTCCGAACGGAGGATGGACGAGTGTATAGAAGAAACAGGAGACATCTTAGGCGGACACGTGNAAAATAGTAGTGCCTACAAAGATAAGAAGATTGTCCCCCATTGTACAGCGCATATTTTACTATAACGCAAATATCAAACAACTAATTTTTAAAAGGATCAATTATTTGGTCAAAATGTTCAAATCCTAACAAAAAGAGCTTAAAAAACGCGCCGTTAGGGTTATCTTGGAAGCGGATACGTAGTCGAACCGAGTGTGAAACTCGCAAAGAAATTAGCGTGGTTCCATTTCTTTTACAAAGCTATGTGAAATAAGGGCACTTTAGTCTTTCTGACTATGATTATTAATTTTCTAATCATATCGGCAGTGTGTTCCACTAAGTTTACCGATAGAGTAGCGTCAAAATGTTGGGTTATTCGGAGATACTTACCCTTGGTGTGGGTCTAAAACAATTTCAAAAGGCTGAAATGTAGAAAGGACAGTTGTTCTGTTATTTCCCTCGAGATCTGACACTGATATGCTGTGATTGTTGAAATCTGCCAAATACAACTGCAATGAGTTCCACTGCACTGCTAGCCCATAACTGTACACATAGTTTTGGATCACTGCAATGTTGGTACCGTCCATATTCGAACGCTTGATGTTTCGTTCTGACAAGTCACTCCAAAATATGTAGTCCAAGTTGTAATGGAAGTCTAAACCCCAAGTACTTCTCAAATTAGAAATGACTGTGAGGCTTGAGTTGTTTTCAAAGTTTACAACAATTATGCTGCGACGCGTTGAAACCAAAAGACGAGGAGAGTTGAACAGACGCCTCGATACTAGAATAAAGGAAGTATAAGCTAAAAATGAATTGATCTAGTTAAATATTGATGTATTCTAGGTTGTCAATAAGGGAAAAAAACCAAGCGCAGATGGATTATGATCAATACCAATCGATAAAAAATTATATTCAATTATTAATGACGAAAAAACTTATTCTTTACATTTACCATAACAGTTATAATAAGACCTTATTTCCTCTACATACCCTTAGTCGAAAAGCGACTGCGTAGAGAGCTATGAGATTTTAAGAACCCTCCCTCCCTCTCTTCCTCTCTTCCTCCCTCTCCCCCCCGATCTAAACAAAATCTTCTCCTAACTCAAATACTGTAAATTAAAAGTTTTGTTGATTATCATTTCGACTGATAGCGTTGCAGTCCAAAATATACTTGTATTTGAAAGCTGAGCCTGTCTTCAACCTTGATTGCTGCATGGCATCAATTAAATCTGGGGGAGAAAAATGACTTCTGCACATTTTGGAAATGTTTTCAGAAGCCCCTTTTCTGCTCCCTTCTCTGATAAGCCTCAATAGCTAATAGACAGGTAGATCGCCAAGTGACGAGCTACTTGACGATGGCTGCACATTTTCTTCCTGTTTAACATCATGCATGCACTGGATTCTTTCTTTGGCGAATCCATGGGGGTGGAAAAACAATGCAAATCAGTCTTACTGAATTAATTTATCTCTAATAACTAATAGTCCATGGGCCTGAGAGGTTCTTGGTGTCATTCAAAGGAAGGAAACTTAGTGTTATCCGATCAAAGATTATGTGAAAGACTTAACATGTTCTTGAAAAACAGTTTATTGACAATCAGTCCCAAGGGATCATGAAATTAGTAATGGCAACTGTTCAAAGTTCAACATGGTGACCTAAACAGAGGTCTAGTTTGAAAACTGCCGATAAGCGCCTC